CTACTTGGGAGGCTGATGTGGGAGGATCACTTGAGCCCAGGAGTTCAAGGCTGCAGTAAGCTATGATCATGCCACTGCAGTCCAGCTTGGGTCACAGAGTGAGACTCCAAGTTTTGAAAACCAAAGGGAGTAGTGGGCAGTAGCTCAAATCCAGCATTCTGAGGATAGAGTGACTCGGGATCAACCCTTCTGCCTCTGGGCGGGCCTGCACAGGATTCTCCACTCCCAGGTGAGAGGGCTTCAGTCCTCCAGAGGGTCAGGCTCCAGTCTTCCTTTTGTGAACCCTTTTGGGTTTCTTGGGAGGAGAGATTGGCTCCCAGAGACCTCATAGTGGAGCATGAAGGCAGAACGGAGGTAGGGTTGTGGGGGTCCCCAGGCAGGTTCCTTCGGAGAGCCTTCCGCTTCTCCTTCCTCTGTCCAGATGGCAAGTCCTGGCGTACAGCCAACCCTGCCATACTTGCTCGAAGCACCAGTCAGACAGAGCTGGGTCAGAAGGTCCGCTGGAGTCCACCCTGGGGTCCTTTCTGGCCTGTTTTGACTTGGTGGAGGGAGAGAGGTCCACATGCCAGTGCACACACACACACCCCTACACACGTACCCTCCCTGGGCTGGATTTAGAGGACAGCCTAGAAGGCACAGACAGCTCCGAGGTGAGGGACAACCCTGAACCCATAGCTGCCACTGCCCAGCTGAGGGGCCCTGAGTTAGCTCTGTCTGGCAGTGCAGGCAGCCAGGGAAGAGAAAGTGGCAGCCACAAGGGGAGGCTTCAGATTCCAGGTGAGGGGTTCCGCTGTGTAGGCACAAACACATAGACATACCTGACACAAACACATGGTGGCACATGCTTGGTCCCTGACACACACAACTCACAACCGAAACTCCTCTTCTGCGGTGCACACCCACACTTCACTGCCGTTCCTCTGTCCCTGGACCAGCATCTTTCCTTTTAACCCTGGGCATCCCACAAAGTGGAGGGAGGGGAGGCACCCGCTCTGAGGACGCTAGCAGTTCCATTCGGCTTCTGTATGTGTCTCTTCTCCATGCTAGGAAAGAGGTGGCTGGGGTCCCAAGGAAAGGGACGAGGAGGGTCCATTCCCCGAAGTGGAGGGAGGCCTTCAGGAAGCGGAGCTGAGGTGATTGGCCATAAAACAGCTTGGCCACAACATCTGGAGCAGATTGAAACCAGATGTTCAAGGGATGGGGGAAGGGAGGGTGTGGGATGGAGGGGGCTGGGGCAGCAGAGGCGGCAACTCTGGTTGGCGGGAGACTGGGCTGGGGGCTCAGGGTTCTCCGGGGAAGACATCTGGCTGCCTTGTCCCTCACTCTCCGAGTCAGGCATTACTATTTTTGCAAACTGGAGCAACAGATCTTTTCACAGATCCTAGAATCAGCCTTGTGCGTAGGGACAGTCGAGTACAGGGTGTGACTTGGGAGGTGCCCAGAAAGGGCCACCAGCTCGCCAGAAATATGTCCCTTGCTGTCCTGCAGCCCCTCCTTGCTGTGGGCTCAGCGTTGCCCCTCCAGCAGGGGGAATTCTACACTAAGCTCCTAGTGCCTGCCTGGAAACTACTTTTGTACCTGAAAGTTTCCTTTTAGCACAGGAGTACAGTTGTCTGGGAGCTAGCAGAGGAAAGGAAAAACAGGCCCATTTATTAAGAGCCCCCTCTTTGACAGGCACCATGACCGGCTCTCTTCCAAGGTTATCTCATTCCTTGTTTTTCCTGTCACTCAGACTGGAGTGCAGTGGTGTGATCTCGGCCCACTGCAGCCTCAACCTCCCAGCTCAAGCAATCCTCCCACGTCAGCCTCCTGCATAGCTAGGACTACAGGCATGCACCACCACTCCCAGATAATTTTTTAAACATTTTTTGTAGAGACAGGGTCCGACTAGTCTCAAACTCCTGGGCTCAAGTGATCCTCCCACCTTAGATTCCCAAAGCATTTGGGATTACAGGCATGAGCCACTGTGCTTGGCCTCATTCCTTCACAACCATATCACCCCACACTGAAGAACCTGAGGTTCAAAGAAGTGATTCATCCAGGGTCGCATAGCCACCAAATGGTGGAGCTGGTGTTCAAAATGGGTTTTGTTTGCTCTCAAGCTTGTCACCTTTTTACTACTGGGGATCCTGTAGGGTTAGAGGGAGGGGCAGGGAAAAAGAAAAAAAGGGAGTGAGGGACAGAGCCAGGCACTCAACTTTCCTTGTTTTACAGCTGAGCCAACACTTGTCGCTGGAAGCTGCCACATCTCTGCTGAGGGTTCCAGTCACTTCAATTGCCTGGTGCCCTGCCCTCTGACTGCTTTGGAGACAAGACGTTGGATTTTCAAATCTGTCTCTCAGGACATGGCAGGAAGGGTGCTGGGGACAGGTGATAGGTTTGGGGAGCAGAGGACCAGGGAGGGGGCAGCGGGCCAGTGTCACAGAGCTAAGCGTAGCAGAGCCAGGTCTCCTGACTGCCAGGCTCATGCTGCCCTCTTGCCCGACGGCTCCAGAAAGTTCGAAGCTCCCAGGGATGTGCTCACCTTGACCTGGCTACTGGGGCTGGGAGTGTAGGGTCGGGGCAGCTGCATCTTGGCTTTTCCCGTGTGAATGCTTATCATGAGTGCAGGACTCCGGGGGACCTCAGCTAAGCCCCCAGGGGACCTCAGGTGCTGGACACAGGAGGAGCAAGTGTACCTTCCTCCACCATGGAATCACCTGCACAGAGGGGCAGCTGCACTGGGTGGGGGTGGGGGGCTCATCTAGAACCCTGGGCAGCTAGAAGGTGAGGGTAGGCTGGGCCTGCAGAATGCATCAATTTACCAGATTCTGAAATACGCATCAGTGGCCTGCAACCAGCATCTGAGGGGCTTCCATCACCTGAGGAGGCAGATCCTTGCTCCTCCTCCACTTCCTCCTCTTCCTCTCCATCCTCTCCCTCCTTTCTCCCCTCCTCCTCCTCTCCAGCCACCATCTTGTCTTCCTCAGAACTCTCCAGCCTCCGTCCTCTGAGTGTTCCTCCTCTTCCTCCCTGTCTTCTTCCTCTTCGTCCTCCCCTCTCCTCCCTCTCTATCAAATGGATGCCCTTATCCTTGCTTTGGGCTGCCTCCTGCCCGATTGCAAGCACTTGGGGGTGGACATCTGGGCATCCAGACAGGCCTGTACCCCTGCTTCTTGGCTGACCAGGGCAGAGGATCTGAAACTGCCATGTGGACCTCCTTGGTGGTCTTCAAAATCTTTGTTCACTCCATGGGGTGGGTTGGGAGCGCCCGCTGTGGCTGGGGCTCCTGCACTGCGTCAGTTTCGGTGTGGGTGGTCTCCAAGATACTCTGTGCCAAAGTTCTCCTGGCTGGGCCTTCCCTCAACCTAGGGCACTACAGCCCCTTGCCTACCTCTGAAGAGGGGCCTATGGAATGTCTGGAGGGCTCGCTGGGTGGGTTCTTGAGTTGCTGGAGGAACCTGTGTTTGCAGGTGATGGAGTGTTGAGTCATGTGCCCAGGTGGCTGCGTGGGTTATCCTGAGCCTGCCTCTAGCTGGCGGTTGCTGTCCATAAGGACCCTGTTTGGGGTGGGGGGACTCAATGTATCTCTGTGGGTTGGAGCCCCTGCCTGGACAGGGTTATGACCCTGGCCTATGAGCTAAGACTGTGGTCCTTGGAGCTTCCGAAGGACCCAGAGGGCTGGTAAGGAGACCTATGGCCACTGACCACAACTTCATGGCAGAGCTCATGCCAAGTGGGTGGGCAGTGTCTGGGTGAGATGCCCAGGCAGCTGCCCCAGCGTAGGGATCTTTCCATTCTGTCATAGCCCTCCAGGCTGTCCTGAGCCTCCTTTTCAGAGGAAGAAGCAGCAGGGAGGAGAGGCTGTGACATCACAGCCTGTGACTTTACTGGCGCAACAAGCAGTAACTCCTCTGGGCACCTCTAGCTCTCTCTTAGGACCCCGGGGCCACACTGGTGGTCAGGCCTGGAGGAGACAGCTGCAGCCTGAGCAGTAGAGCAGGTTGGCTTCCTGGAAGAAGAGGGCCCTGTGTACACATCCGACACTCGCAGCGTGCCTGGTTTCCACTACTACCTTCTGCTTAAAGAGCCAAGATGGAGTCCCCCATGCCAGACTGCTTCCTGGGAGTAGGGGCCCCTGCAGGTCCAGACAGCATCTGACACAGCCTCAGGAAGGATCCAGGAAAAGCCTGTCAGTCCACTGAAGGCTCTAGGAAACACTGGGGCTTGCAGCAGGCCACCTAGCTCTCTCTGGACCCTGGGAGCAGCCAGCCCGGGCATAAGAGCTGGGGCTGCTCTGGGCTTTCTTTCCCTTTGAGAGCCACGTAGAAAGAGGGGAGAGAGGGAACTGAGATGTGATTTCTCCTCCTGGCCTCTGGGAGGCACAGGTCTGGGATGGGGAAGCAGGGTGGGCAATGGCAGGAAGGAGGAGGCCGGACAAGACAGCTTTGGGTCGCCTGGGAAGAGGGGCCAGAGCTGGGATGTTTGCTCAGTGGCTGCTGAGCTCTGGCTCTTGTCTCCACGAAGACAGGGGGATCCATGGGGAGCAGCACTTGGCATCTGACTGGCAGGAAGGCAGGCACCAGGGGCCAACTGGACCTGTCCTAGCTGATGTGGGTTTTCTGGCCCCCGTTTGCTCACCTAGGTGGACACCCTTGCAGCCCACCTGCTCCTTCCCCAGATGCAGAGACAGAAAACCCAGACGGACAGACACCCCTGACCCCTTTCACATCCTTCTTCCCTCCCTACCAAACAGCCTCTTTATGGAATGTTCCACCCCTCCCCTCATGTGGGAGGACCGCAAGCAGAGCATGTGGTGTGTGTGCACGCTGTGATGGGTGCCTGCGAGAACATGTGTGCCTGAGTGTGAAATCACAGCCTCGGGGGCCTGGGATCAGGGGAGGGAAGGGCAGTCCACAATGCCAGGTGCCCTGGCCGCGTGCCGGCCTCCACAGCAAGCCCATACATCTGGAACATGACAGCCCCGCCCCCACGGCCCAGACAGCATCTGGCACAGGATATTGGCTGTAACACTTTCGGTTTATTGGCTGTGGTGCCCTGGTGTGGCTGACCGGCCACTGGGCCTGAGAGAAGCCCTGTCTTGTTTCTCCATCCCCTCCCCATCAGCTTCCCACAGCGGCTCCTGGGGGAGACACACAGACACTTGTGCCCCAGGAAACGGGGGGGTGTAGTGGGGGCTCAAAATAAAACCAAATCGAGGCTGGAGCAGGGGTGGGAAATGAACATTACAATGAAGATAATGCCCCCGGCGATACACAATACAGCGTGTAGACACAGGGACGGCAACGGGGTCCTGCTGACATTCCTTCTTGCCACCAGGCAGGGCCCCCGAAGAGAGGAATGGTGACTTTGAAATGTCTTGGGGAAGCTCTGCTCCCCAGCCCCGGCCGCTTGCTGGTTGAGGGGTTGTGGGGAAGTGGCTTACGCCGGAGTCCAGTTCCCCCCACCTCCTATGGACAGTCTCACCGGGCCATTGGCCCTGCAGGTCCTGGGGCCTGGGGGAGAGGCATGGTGCGTCGCCTTCCGCCCACCCCCACTGTCCAGTCTAGGTGACCAAGGGCAGCAGGCTCCGGTCCCCGCCCCTGTTCAGGCAGTGGTCACTTCCTGCTGTGGAGTGTGTCCTGGAACTTGGTGCTGGTGTATCGCAGGTGGAAACCTTTTTTGGTGATGGTGTCATCTGAGTGGAACTTCACCAGGACAGAATCTCCCGCCGAGTACACCTCCTCAGGAGGCTGGCAGAGAAAAGGGATGGGGTAAGGCGAAGGAAGAGGGGCTGGGGCTGCTCTCCTGTCTCCCCAAGATCCCCGGCTCTGAGGGGCAGGAGGCTCCCGGGCAGCCACCAGATTCTCCCCGCCCCTTGAAGCGTGGGGCTTCTTGCTAGTTTAATGAGGAACCTGGGGAGGGGAGAAGGCGTGGGCTGAAGAGAACTAAGTTCCTGTAAACCCAGCTCTACTATAACTACTAACTGAGTTGTGTAGTCTCAGGCAAGCCACCTCCCATCTCTGGGCCTCACTTCCCTCAGCCACAAACAGGAGCAAAAGCTCTCTGCTCTCCATGCCTAGGACGGGTGCTAGGGAAGAGCAAAGGACCGGACTGATGTCAAAGTATTTTGCAAAGGGAGGGGTTCTTTGAATGGCATGACTTCCTGCCGTCCCAGCAGACTCTTAGGGAAGACCGCACGGCCACTTCTCTGCTGGAGTGTGGAGGAAGTTTTGGGGAGAAGCACAGTGTCCCCCAGACCTGGACTCTGCCATCCCTACACCTCGCCCCGCCTCTCCTCTGGCACCTGGCCAAGGTCTGCTCCCAGGCCCTTCTTAGATGCCTCCTGCAAGCCTACTGAGTGAGGTCAGCCGGCAGAGCATCGGACGTCAACACCCTGGCCTTCCAGGCACAGAAGAAATCATTTCTGAGAACCTTGAGGACATTCCCAGTAGTTGTGCCAGGAGGCCCTGATCCTTCCCCAAGTCCCTTTGGTGGACTCAGCCTGGGGGAGGTCTCTGGAAGAAGATACCTGGGGACATCCGATTTCGTGTGTGATTCAGAAGAAAGAGCAAAGAGGGGAGGGGACACTAGCCTGGCAGCCAGGGGACACCAGGGCAGCCAAGCTGCTTCAGACTCCACCTTGTCCCAGCCCCTGCCAGCCACACGAGGGCTGAAGCTCTGCTCCTGGGGAAGGTTGGGCCAATGCTGGGTCCAGCAGCTGCTGCAGCTTCCAGGAGCTTTAACCCTTCCTGGGGCACCCAGGCTGCCTGGGACACAGCCATGAGATAGGCAGGGGACCAGGGAGGTGACAGGAGGGACAGTGTGTTTCAAAGTGCATGCAAGCGGGTGTGCCTGTGTGTGTGGGTGTGTGTGTGTGTGTGAGAGAGAGAGAGAGGGTGGGGGGGGGAAGAGAGAGAGAAGGGTAGGAAGAAAAGTCTGTCTCTTTGAAATCCTCAGGAAAGGACAAGAAAAAAAAAAAAAAGAAGAAGCTGCAAGCTCTTACAGGGAGGAAAATAAATCCTCCGCATAAGGCTAGCCCATGTCCTTAGGTAAAAGCCCATCAAGTTTAATTTTGCTCATTGCCTCTGAATGTGCCATTTTATGGACCAAGAAGCAGTGCCCAGGGGCCACTGGGACAGCAGCAGGAAGAGCTTTGGGACAAGCTGGCCTCTCACCAGGAGGAGAAATTGGCAGAGGAAATGAAAAGGGTATTTATGGCTCCAGCAAAAGGACTGGTGAGGGCCACTCTGCTCAGGCCCCCTGTCCCCGACTCCGTTACCAACCTCTGCTCCCCATTTCAGGCCCTCGTGGGCTGCCTTGGAGGAGGCGTAAGGAAAGGAGGGACAGGGGAAGCTCCATCCCCTGCAGGCCCTGGCCAACTGGTTCTGAAGCAGGCCTGGGTCAGAGGCCATAGGAACCTCTAGGTTGCCCAGAAAGGACTGGGTTTCCTAGGTCGGGGATGAGGCAGTGTCTTTGAGCACCCCCAACCAGGCTGGGTCTCTGGGTGCAGCACCACATGCGTGCTGCACTCAACTTCCGGGGCCTGTGTGGGTGCTAGGTCTTGGGGATTGGGACAAGAAGGGTGGAGGACAGTGTGGGGCATGGGGCCAGGAGGGCAAGGGGCAGGGGCCTCACCCCTGAGCCACAGTAGCGCCCCAGCCTGGGGGCTGTGCTGTCGTAGCCGTCGAAGAGCTCCATGTAGTCGTAGCCGCAGTCAGTCTCCTCCTCCACCTCAAAGGTCTGGAACACGAGCTCCACGCCGTAGCCTTCCTCGGCCACAATGACCCACTCACAGTCCACACCCCCAGGGTAGTTGTTGTCGCCAAACTGGGCGTGGGAGTAAAGGTCCTTGGTCTTCACATCTGCCCGTACCTGGCCCCCGCACTCTGTAGAGGACAAGATTGGCCACCAGCATTGAGCACTGGAGGTGCCAGGCTCCATGGCGCACCATGCCGAATCCTCACGGCACAAGGGAGGCCTAGACGAAGGCCACATGGCCAGTGATGGGTGGGTGGGGGTCTGGCCCAGAACAGTGCTCTGCTGCCCCATCTCTAAATAAAGGGACCTTGGCCCTAGGATGAGGGGGACAGGCGATGAGGCTCGCTGAGAGGAAGGCAGCGTGGAGCAGCGGCACGAGGCACCACACACTTTGTCTAAAGAGGACATTGCTCATTTGCTCCAGCTGACGGCTGTCATGGAAGAATGTGGGCCTGGTGTTGCCGCAGCTTCCATATTCAAGAGAGAAGCCGTACATCTGGGTTTTATATGAAAACCTCTAACTTTTAAGCGTTGGCTCACATTTAAAAAAAAAAACAGCCTGGGCCAAACATAGCAGGTCTGAGGGCCAGATGGAGTTCCAGGCCTCTGGTTTGTGACCCTGTGCTGGGAGGGGCAGAGGACAGTGCATGGGGCCACCCTCCTCCCCAGGCCCTCTGGCCTCTGTGCACTTGGCACTCAGGTCTCCCTAGAGGAGCTGGGGAGAGGGCCAGGTCGGGCTGGGTCAGGGACTGAGTTGAAGGGGAAGAGGAGAAGCTGTGGACCATCAGCTCTGGGGATGCCCTGACAGGTGGCTCAGGACCGAAGAGGACACTGCAAAGCTCCCGCGTGGCATCCTTGGTCTGGCACTCAAGGTGTCCCCCTGGGCTCCAGCCTTTCTCTGCAGCCACATCATTTCCACAACCTGCTGTCCTCACACACCCGTTGCTCCGGCCAAACCAAATGACCTGCTGTCACCTGGGCACACCCTGGGCTTGGGCTGGGGTTGCGTCTCTGCCTGGGTACCACCCCCTGCCTTGAATGCCTCTATCAGCTCATGCCCAGTTAGGCCGGGGTACCTTTCTTCCTGCCTGGCTCCCTCTTGGACTCATGCTGTCACAGGCAGTGCCTGCCTTGTCTCTCTCTTGGACTGTGAGTTCCTAGTATAGGGTTGGGAGCAGGGGTGAAGGGCTCATGCCTGATTCAGGTCACGTGCCCCTCAGTCCTCTCACAGAGGGGAGCTCAGTCCATGGCTGCTGAATAAATAAGCAAGTGAAAGCCGAGCAAGCCCCTCGAGGGCTGGGATCTTTGCTTGGTCTGTTTGTGGGACCTGCATTTAGGATACAGCCTCATCCATACTACGTGTCAATAAGTATCAGGAGACTAGGCCGGGCATGGTGGCTCACGCCTGTAATCTCAGCACTATGGGAGGCCAAGGCCAAGGATCACTCCTGAGGTCAGGAGTTTGAGACCAGCCTGGCCAACATGACGAAACCCTGTCTCCACTAAAAATACAAAAATTAGCTGGGCATGGTGGTGGGCTCCTGTAATCCCAGCTACACAGGAGGCTGAGGCAGGAGAATCACTTGAACCCAGGAAGTGGAGGTTGTAGTGAGCCAAGATCAAAGCACTGGGCTCCAGCCTGGGCAACAAAGCAAGACTCCATCTCAAAAAATAAAAAATAAATAAAAATAAAAATAAATAAATAAATAAATATCAGAGAATGAAGAGTATATTGTGAGTTGGTGTGTGGCTGGGCTGCTGCAGTGGCCAGCATGCTCTCAGGGGGACCTCTGGGGGCTTTCCTGTCTGTCCCTGAGTTCCCTAACCTCTCCTGCCCGTCGTCATCACTGCCATCCTAATCCCTAACCACATCCTCCTATCCCTGCCTCCCAGGCCTGGTTCTCAGGACACGATGTTTGCATCACCCACACCCCCGGCCCTGGGTCACAGGGCTCAGTCCCTCTATGCCTTCATACCCGCTTTGTAACCCCCGACTCTACCCCTGTCTTAGAGACCAGGCTCAGTGAAAACTCCCACAACCAATGACAGCACCTGTGGCGTGGGAAGCCTGGAAGCCCTTTCGCTGGACCGAGTTATCTGAGTAGAAGCGCAGGAACATGCGGTTCCCTGTGGCCAGGACGGGCTCAGGCTTCTTGCTCCCACAGAAGCGGCCGAGGACAGGGGCCTTGGCGTCTCGCCCGTCGAACACCTCCAGGTGGTCATAGGCACACTCAGGCTGGGACTCGATGTCCATCTCCATGAAGGTCTAGGGGGATGAGGAAGGAGCACAGATTAAAAATTTGCCTGGAGGGCAGGTGGGGCGAGGACAGGGGCCCCAAACCTAGGCCTCATGGACACCCATGGGAGCGGCCACAGCTGGGGATGACAATGAAGGAGGGCCAAGGAATAGGGCAAAGGCAGGGATGCCCCTAACTTATACTGGGAAAGGGGCTCCGTCCAGGTCAGACTTGGGGTCTCCTGGGGATAGCAGGCCTCTGGGCTCAGCCTGCAGCCTGTGTGGCTCTGGGCAGTGCCTCTGACCAGGGGTGGCCACACCACATAAGGAGTGGGAAGGGGCCCCTTACCAGCTTGACCCGGTGCCCGGGGGTGCTGGAGATGGCCCACGTGCACTCCTTCTTGCTGGGATACTTGTCAGGCCAGTTGGGGCTGGTGATGGTACCACTGGTGGATGTCACCTTGTGGTCACAGCCGGCTGCAGGGAAGCGAGTGACGGAAGGAGATAGAGAGGGACCCCAAGCTCTAATGCCTCCTGCGGAGAAGGCCCTTCCCTCCTGCCCCGCTCCTTCCTTCCATCTCTTGTCCCACTTATGAACTGGATGGCAGGCAGGCATCATTTCTTTTTCATGAGGTTATCTGTGTCTGGGGAAAATCTAGCTGCCTGATTCCTACGAGAGCCTTGAGTGAGGCCTCACATGGCAGCACTCAAGAAACAGCCATCGCAGGCTCCCCTGGACAACCCCTGGACCTTTGTAGGTATTGGGCGGGCCACAGTGGTCACATCACCTGTGCCTCTCCATTTTTCTTTTCTTTCTTTTTTTTTTTGTTTGAGATGGAGTCTCACTCTGTTGCCCAGGCTGGAATGCAGTGGTGTGATCCCTGCTCACTGCAACCTCTACCTCCCAGGTTTAAGCAATTCTCCTGCCTTAGTCTCCTCAGTATCTTGGATTACAGGTGTGCACCACCATGCCCGGCTAAATTTTGTATTTTTAGTAGAGATGGGGTTTCGCCATGTTGGCCAGGCTGGTCTCACCACCTCAGGTGATCTGCCCACCTTGGCCTCCCAAAGTGCTCGGATTACAGGCATGAGCCACTATACTTGGCTAATTTTTGTATTTTTAGTAGAGACAGGGTTTCACCATGTTGGCCAGGCTGGTCTTGAACTCCTGGCCTCAAGTGATTCATCTGCCTTGGCCTCCCAAAGTGCTGGGATTACAGGCATGAGCCACTGCACCTGGCTGACCTGTGCCCCTTCTTGAAGCTGTCATCTACTGATCTCCAGCAGCCTGGACAGTCACAGGGGACTTTGACACCTGACTCAGTTCTCCCCACCCCCACTCCTGCTACCCGCCCAGGTGAAGTCAACAGACACATAATGGTCCACCCAAGACGGCCTCTCAGTTCCTTGAGGGCTTTGTCGTCATCCACTGTTTCTCCACATCACAAACACATCACCCCTTTGTGGCCACTTCCTGTTCCTTGGGGTGCTCAGGACCTCACCTTCCTGACCATGGTCATTAGGCTTCATTAAAAAACAAAAACAAAAACAAAAACAAAAACCGGTTCTCACTTTGCTACCCAGGCTGGAGTGCAGTGGTGCGATCATAGCTCACCATAGCCTTGAGCTCCCAGGCTCGAGTGATCCTCCTGCCTCAGCCTCCCGCGTAGCTGGGACTACAGGCATGCCACCTGGGTAATTTTTTTCATTTTTAGTTTTTGTAGAGATGGGGTCTCACTATGTTGCCCACGCTGAACCTCCCTGGTTTCAAGCGATCCTCCTGCCTCAGCTTCCCAAAGTGCTAGGGTCACAGGCATGAGCCACTGTGCCCGGCTGGCCTCTTAGTTTTAGAGAGACCTCCAGGGTCTTGATCTTTCCATTCTCTCCCAGTATTTCCTCCTCGACTGACTTAACTGACTGCAGGGCTGACCACTCAGCCTGCTCCTCTGCACCCTGCGTGGCCCTGCATCTCCGGCTCTGCACGGCACCATCTTAGAAAACCCCACCTGTGGCTCCAGCCTCACCTGGGCCCCCAGACCACTTGACACTCTGGATTTGGCCTTTACCAGCTCCATCTCTCACCTCCTTAGTAACTGCTGCCAACATCCAGCCCCCTCCTCAAGCCACTGTGTCAGCTCCCAGTGGTAGACCCCCTCTCTCCTACCTCCTGAGAAAGCCAGGGCCCTCCACTATGAATGGTTTCAACCTCCAGACTCCGACCTGCAAACCCACCTGCCCTGCTGCCCTGCAGCCTCAAGTGTCCCTCCTCCCCGTCAGGATGCACTGCCCTTCTGGGAGCCGCAGCTCATTGCTGCCCACACCTGGGAACCTTCACACCACAAATGATCCAGCCTCACGCTCTCCCTCAGCTCTGCAGCCTCAGAACCTTCACACATCCTGAAAGAGCTCTCCCAGGCCCCTCCAGCTACAGCCCATCCTATCTCCTTTTCTTTCCAGCGTGTCTTCCGGAACACTTGCTATGGCCACTCCCACTGCCGATCTCCTCAATCCACGGCAATCTGACTTCTGCCTCTGAAAAGCATGGCACCCCGACTCAATTTTTTTTTTTTTTTTTTTTGTAGCGGGGGGTGGACAGGGTCTTGCTCTGTTGCCCAGGCTGGAGTGAAGTGGCGCGATCCTGGCTCACTGCAACCTCCGCCTCCCAGGTTCAAGCAATTCTTGCACCTCAGCCTCCCAAGCGGCTGGGACTACAGGCTTGCCATGTTGCCCAGGCTGGTCTTGAGCTCCTGAGCTCAGGCAATCCGCCCCCTTCAGCTTCCCAAAGTGCTGGGATTATAGGCATGAGCCACCACGCCCGGCCCCAACTCAAATTAAAAAGCTGATGATCATTATTCATGATCATATCATCGGACATGTTTCACTCAGGGAAACAGGCGGCCAGGCACTATGGCTGGTGGGGAATAGGATGGGCAAGATACAGCATGAGAGCCCCGAACACAGGGCCCTCGCAAGTCCCTGGTGGAGGCAGGTGAAGCTCTTGTCTACCCACACTTGAACCATAAGCTGTCACCATTACCCATCGGTGAGTTCACACAGCTCCCTGCCCTCCCTCTTTGCGCTCCGGCCTTCCATGCCCGCTGTGTTCCTGGCGCGCCCATGTCTCTCCCCAGCTAGGCTGCAATCTCCATGGGAACAGAGGGGCTCTTGTCTTGAATTCCCTACAGATCTTTGCAAAGTGCTGGGTCCTCTGTAGGAATCAGGAAATGCTTACGGATCTGAAATTAACCTACCACCTGAGTAGGAAACCACACGTGCTTCTAAGGTGAATCAGCAGATGGAAAGGTAAACAGTCCATCTTCTCCAGGAGCTTCACCCCTGTCCTGGCTATCTTATGGATTCTGTTCTTTATCAAACAACCTTTTGACACAACGGAGTACAGAGGCAGAATGCAGTGTAGACAACATCAGTATAAGGTCCCCTCTGGCTAGTTCCATGACTCAGGAACTGTGTATTTGGGAAGCCTGAAGTCACAGGGTTGGAAGCCCTCGACTGTCCACTGGTTCACTGTCGAGGCCTTCGGTTCTGTGTCTGCTTGTGAGCAGCGCATCTGTTTATACTGGGTTGTCAACCTAACCGGGGTAGGAAGAATCACTTGCCAAGCATGGTGCTAAGGGCTCACAGCCATGTCTATAAAGCTTAGTACCTTGCAAGGTAGGCATCATTTTTATTATTTTTTAGTTTTTGAAATGGAGTCTTGCTCTGTTGCCCAGGCTGGAGTGCAATGGCATGATCTCGGCTCACTGCAACCTCCGCCTTCCAGGTTCGAGCAATTCTTCTGCCTCAGCCTCCTGAGTAGCTGGGATTACAGGTGCATGCCACCACGCCTGGCCAATTTTTTGTATTTTTAGTAGAGACAGGGTTTCATCATGTTGGTCAAGCTGGTCTTGAACTCCTGACCTCAAGTGATCCGCCCACCTTGGCCTCCCAAAGTACTGGGATTACAGGCGTGAGCCACTGCGCCTGGCCTATCACTTTTTATCATTTCATGGATGAGGAAACTGAAACACAGAGAGGTTGAGTGACTCACCCAAAGTCATATAGACATTCAGTGGTAGAGGCAAGTCTATGTTGTGCTGCTGGGATTGGACACACCCAGCAGGCAAGGGCCACAGGGGAATCCCTGACTTAGAGCGGGTCTGTGAGGTATCAAGGCCCAGGAGGTATTAGGGGATACTGGTGATACCCTGAGAGCTGTTTTTATTTTGCTTTATTTATTTATTTATTTATTTATTCCCAGTCTGTCACCCAGGCTGGTGATGCCCTGAGAGCTGTTTTTATTTTGCTTTATTTATTTATTTATATTTTTATTTGCTTTTCCCCACTCGGTCACCCAGGCTGGAGTGCAGTGGTGTGATCTCGGCTCATGCAGCCTCAACCTCCCCAGACTCAGGTGATTCTCCCACCTCAGCCTTCAGGGTAGCTGGGACTACAGGCGTGCACCACTACACCCAGCTAATTTTTTGTATTTATTGCAGAGATGGGGTTTCGCCATGTTGCCCAGGTTGGTCTTTAACTCCCGGGCTGAAGCAATCTGCCCGCCTCAGCCTCCCAAAGTACTGGGATTACAGGTGTGAACCACTGCGCCGGCCTATTTTACTTTATTTTTAGTTTAAAAACCTGTTTAAAAATAAAATAGAGACAGGGTCTCACTATGTTGCCTAGGCTGGTCTTGAATGCCTGAGCTCAAGCGATCCTCCTGCCTCAGCCTCCCAAAGTGCTGGGATTACAGGCATGAGCCACCGAGCCCAGCCTAGAGTTATTTTTAAATGTGTGCAGGGCTTCACTGCCAGGAAGGCAGTGGCCCTGTTCTGAGCATCCCCAGGGGTTATAAGTGTGACCGATAATGGTAACAGATGCCATTGTGCTTGCAGTGAGCCAGTCCCTGCTTGGGGCATGTCAAGCTCCCAATGCCCCTCTGAGGTGGGTACTATTATTCTTATCTACATTTTACGCAGGAGCAAACCAAAGCACAGAGAGGGTAAAGAGTCACTCAAAGGCACACAGCTAGCGAAGCAGCAGGGCTGGGCCAGGCCACCTGGCTCTGGAGACTGTGCTCTTACCCACTATCCTTTCTTGCCTCTGTGCCAGTAGGAAGTCACAAAGAGACTTGGACATGGTTTTAAGAAGCGCAAACTAGAAAAGTCTGAAAATGAAGCCTCGAAGCAGCCGTGAGCTCCTCCTCTCCTAATGTGGGCAACAGAAGTGAGTGTGTGACATTGCGGGAGGGGGAACGACGGGGCCTCAGAGATCACTCCGGCCCCAGAATCTAAACGGAGGCTGACAGAGATGACCCGCTGGCCTTCCACTCCCAGCAGCAGGTCCTTCAAGCCCAGACGCCCCTGGCATGCAGCCCGTACCTTCTTTGCAGTCGTGCTTGTTGTCATGGAGGACGAAGCCACTGCGGCACTGGCACTCATAACTGCCGAATGTGTTGACGCAGTCCTGCTGGCAGCCGCCGTTATCCTTGGAGCACTCGTCCTTGTCTGCAGGGGAGCAAATAAGGGCAGACGCTGGGTCTGTGCAGAGCTGAGGTCTGGACGCCCCAGGGGAAGTGGAGGCCTGGCTGGGCTTTCTCCCACCGGGACAGAGCAACAGCCGGCCAGAGCTGGCCAGGCCAGGTGGTGGGGAGTGGGAGGCCAGGCGACAAGGGGGTCCAAAGGGGCACTGCGTCCAGCAGGACCAGCTGAGCGGGGCCCAGCTGTGGGGAGAGGAGGACGGGGGTCCGAGCGGACCAGCATGGGTCACCATTACCTGCTTACTGGACAGATGGACAAGTGGAAAAACAGACACATGGACAAGCAGACTGCAAGAGAAAGGAGCAGGACGCAGGGGTCCCTCTTTTACTTCACAACAGGAAATGTCACAGACACCATCAAAATGGGAGGGGGTAGGGCACGGGGAAGGTTCCCCGGTCCGCGGACGGGCACAGTGGGGAGAAGAGAGCACCAGTTCTGTCCGGCCAGAGGGAGGTGGGCCGGAATGGCAGAGTGGAGGCGGGGGGTGGGCGGGCACCGAAGCCCCCATCCCATTCCGTCCAAGGTGAGGTTCCTGAGTAACAAGGGGTCCGGGAGGCCTGGCAGGCCTCACTGGGGGGTCCGGTTTCTTTTCTGCACTCGGAATTTGAGCTGGTGGGGGCGTCCCCGAGGGGGCTGCAGAGCTGGCCTCTTTTCTGAAACGAGAGAGAGAGAAGGAGAACAGGGACCAAGGGGTGGGGGTGGAGGGCAGGGACCAGGGAGGGACAACAATGAAAACCAGACCCAGGGCCTCTGAGGTGGGTCCGAGGGCAGGGTGGGACGGGAGGGCAGGCGGACATACATGCGGGGTAGTCATGTCTGGGCGCAGCCAGGGCACGGAGGGCTGGGTTAGCAGGGGCAGAAGGCACAGCAACGGGACAGAGACAGAGCCTGTGGCAGGAGAAGGCCTGGAGGGATGGCACGCATAGCCCACTAAGTGTGCATTGCATCAGGGAAGGAGAGAACTGGGGAGTCATCGGTGGAGGGGAGCAGTACTTGGGAAGGGCTGGGAGAGCTCCACTCTGGCTCTCATTCAGGTGGCAACATCTACAGAGTGTGTTAGACACACACACACACTCACAAATACACCTGCAGACCCAGTGCGTGGAGGTACTGTTACCCAAATGTGGCAACACAGGTGCTGGTCCGCAGGCACACACATACATATGCCCACGGTACACACTACCCACACACGCACAGACACACAGCTCCAATGCACCATGCAAATGCAGATACAGACACAGCCAACTACACACACATCCTCACTTGCCCGCCCAGCCTGTGTACAGGTGCATACAAAGAATATACACTCTGCACTCCCACCTATGTGTGAGGAGGCAGGCACAGATATCAACGCACAGGCACAGACACACCCAGGGACAGGACACATCTGCACACACAGGTGCATGGACACCTAGACCTGGATACAACGTCACGTGTAAAGGCAGAGATGTAGCTCATTAGCAGATGGCTCACAGAGGGGCAACGGCCACGTGTCAGAGACCCACACATACACTCACGCGACAAACACACAATCTGTGCCCCAAAGCCCAGAAGTGCACATGGTCACGGGTGTGTGTGCCACAGCCACATACATTCAGGTCTGTCTGTGGTCACTTGGGGGATGGTGTGCATGGCATAGAAGCAGGCATATCCAGGGAAGTTGAGGGATCCCAGTGGACTCCCAGAATTCCCGAGATGAACCATGAGGTGGAAAGATGCCTGCTGGCATTGAACTGGCCAGGCGGGGATCTGTGCAAGGGGGCCTATTCCTGATCCCCATCAGGACGGGGGCCCAAGGGCTGGAACATCGGCTTCCAGAAGGCCCTGCTTCTCCAACCCATGACCAGGTAGGCTAGACCCCGAGGGGCCACAGGAACCCAGGCCAAGAGGTGGAGTCCCCAAGTCCTTCTCAAGGGTTCTTGCTCAGTTAACACATCAGAGGGGGCCTGATCAAGAGCCCTCCATGAGCTGCCTTTGAATCAGCCCTGCAGAAAATGTGGGGGTGAAGGGCACCCTGCAAGCCATCCTGGGGTTCACTGAGGACATCTCCAGTGACTGTGCTAGAAGCTTTGGGGGGTCTAGCTTATAGACTGAGCAAAGTCTTCGCTCCATCCCTTCCTCACATGTGTGCCCTAGAAACCTAGTCCAGTGCCTGGTACACAGCACGGGTAAAATTATACCTGCCAAATGCAAATGGACGGGTAAGTGAATGGCTGGATGAATGAGTGGGGGAAAGTGAGTCCTGAGGAAGGCTGCTTCCGTGTCCTGGGCAGGAGTGGGCAGCCTCACCTGGGAGCTGGGGGGAGCAGGTTGCAGGGGGGTGGGGTGGAGGAGGTGGGCATGGGCCCAAGCGAGGAGGTGGCACTCACCCTACAGTGCCCAAATGCCCCGGAAGGTGGCAGGGGTCAGACTGAAGGTCTTCAGGCTCTTTCTTCTCCTTCTTGGCTTAGGGTCTCCTCGGTGGGTGTCCCAAAAGTCCAAATAGCCCCCCTTCTCGGGGGCCAGAGTCAGATGCCCCAGGCCCTGAGGGCTGAGCCTCGATGCCCCCAGTGGGGGTCCTCTGCAGGTTTCTTGTACGATGGGGCAATGTGTGTGCACACGTGTGTGTGTGGGCGTGTGTGTCTCTGTGCAGGGCTGCGGGTGGGGCAGGCATAGTGTCGACCGGGGCATGGGGGCAGAGCAGTAACTCCAGGCCTGACAGATGTGAGTGTCGGTCCCCTGCCCCCTCCAAGACTGGAGCAACAGAAGGGCAGAAAGAGACAAGAGTAAGCAGGTAATGGTTTCCCGGGGCAGAGCCTGCCCCTGAGCAGGTGTTACATCCTCTCAACCCTCTGGCGAGCACCTCTTAGGAGTCCCAGGTGGGCACAGGGAAGGAAGAAATTGGCCTGGCATGGGGAGGGTCTCAGCAAGCGGGGGCTAGGGGTAGGAGGTCAACGGGCAGAGCAGGGTGGCTGGCAGTGCCAAGCAGGGAGCCAGTGCAGGGGCAGGTGCATGGCATCCAGGGGTCAGGCAGGGGTGCAGGGCAGCCACAGAGGGGGCTTGAGGAGGCAGGACCCTGGGCGAAGGAGGGGAGAAGGAAGGCAGCAGGGACTCGGCTGTGGGCATCCTGCCTTCCTGCCTATTCCCTGTCCAGCCCAGCAGGCAGGCCGGGAGTGAGGATCCATGGGCCTCCTCCAGCCAGACCCTGATCTCCCTCTCTCCCCGGCTCCACTCCACTCATGCCCTTCACTGCATGGGCCTGGGTCCTGTTACCTCTGGGGACCACCAGCTGCCTTACAGCCTCACCCCGGGGTGAAGGGCTGAGTGATTCACAAAGAAGGGGAGATCTCCTGGACCCGGAGGATCAGCTCAGAGAGGCTGGGCCAGGGGCTGCTGATCACCATTGAGACCACCCGAAGATGGGGCCATCAAAGGCCCAAATGAGGCCAAGGGACTGGAGCCCAGGCCTTAGGTGGGGCAGCTGTCAATCAACATGTGCTAATTGGATCTGAGTTCCTGCTCACCGGCCCAGGGGAGCCCTAAGGCTTTGGTATTGAAGGAAGCAAGTGACTCATCCTTCTCCTTTTTAAAACAATTTTTAGAAACAGGGTCTGGAGTGAGTGATGAGATCATTGTTCATTGCAGCCTCAAACTCCTGGGCTCAAGCAATCCTCCTATCTCAGCCTCCTAAGTAGTTGGGACTACCAACACACATGACTACACCCTGCCAATTTTAAAATTTTTTATAGAGATGGGGTCTTGCTATGTCGTCTAGGCTGGTCTTGAACTCCTGGGCTCAAGTGATCCTCCCGCCTCAGCCTCCCTGAGTGCTCGGATTACAGGCATGAGCCACTGCACCTAGCCACGACTCATCTTTCTGAAGGCCCCAGTATGAACCTATTCGGCTTGTAGAGGGTCTGATTAGAAGCCCGCCACTGCCAGAAACTCTGCCCCACACAGTCCAAGGCAAACACCTGCCTCTCCTCCATCCACCCATGTTCTTGAACTGCCTGTTCCTAGGACATGCCCTTTCCCAGGCCTTGGCTTGCACAGCTCCTGACACTTGGAATACCCTTTTCTTCACTTCTGGGCGCTGATTTCTGAATGCTTATGTTCTACCCATCCTCAGGCCCCAGTCATTACAGCCCTGAGGGCTCAGGAATAATGGGATTTGGATATCAGAAGGGCTGGCTTGATGGGGGAGTGAAGTGGTGGGGTGCAGGGGGCAGACTCTGCCTGCCTGGCACCAGGGAGGGCTGGGGAGTACAGGGGTGCAGGGGCAGGGAGAAAGGGAGCCCTGTTCTCTGAGGAGAGGCGGGGCTAGGAGCTGGGCAGTCCAGGGATACCTGAGAAGAAGTGGGCCTTGAAGCCCTTTTTGGACACGGTGTTGTCGGACTTGAACTCCACGCGCATGTTGTTGTACTGGGAGGTGATGACCTCAGGCTTCTCAGAACCACAGAACTTGCCATGCAGCTTGGAGTCGGCTGTGAGTCCACTGCGCACCTCCACAAAGTCATACTTGCACACCTGCAGGGAAGCCCAGCTCCAGGCCCGCCTCCTCCAGGAAGCCTCTCTTGACTACTCCTGCCCTCGGGAAGCTCTCTGCTCTGCACATCCTTTAGCCTTGACTTAGCTGCTCCCCATCACTGGATCTTCCTGTGCTCCCCAAGCCAGCCCTAAGCCTTCCCTTTCTCCACACCCCTCCACACTTCCTCCCACTTGCCACGTGTTCCCCCACCCCCTTCGGGGCCCTCCCTCCTGTGTGTCCCGAGCTGAGAGCAGTCTCTCCTTGACATTTGCAGAGTGTTTCTGCTGGGGCTGCTCTCGGAGGACACGAAGCAGGCATCGAGCTGAATGCCCACGCCTCACAGCTTCCTGCCCCACCTCAGCCCCCGGTGGGCACTTACATCATTGCCCTCTGTCTCGAAGAAGTCAAACTGCAGGGAGATGCGGTACTGGGTGGGGGCCACTAGCTGCCAGATGCAGTTCTTGTTGGGGGGGTACTCCTTGGGCCAGCCTGGGCTGGTGATGGAGCCGTTGAGCTTGGTGAGGAATCCGCCACAGGCAGCTGCAGGCACAAGGAAGGTGGCGTCATCTGCGGGGAGCCCCTGCCATGGGAAAGGGCTGAGACGTGGGCTGGGAAGCAGTAAGGAGAAGATGGGGAGCCTGTGGACTCCCCAAGGCTCAGGGACCTGTGTCTGGTCCCTCTGGGGCAGACGGGAGGAGGCAGGGTGGGTTCGGTGTCTTCGGGGGTGAGCCTGTAGGGAGGAGTGGGGGAACTAAGGGGTCGTAAGTGTGGCCATTTCTATCTTCTCTGCAAATGAACAGGCCAAGGATCTGCCAAGAGGGAGTGAGGGGAGTAAGCGGCTCAGGCAAAGCAGTTCAGGGAGAGGTGGTCCTGGGAGGTGCAGGAAAGGGAGTGGCTCAGGAGCACGGCAAGATTGGCCTAGTGAGCTGGAGCCATTAGCCTCGGAGTGCCGTCCCCAGCATCTCGGGACGATGCGTGGAGAGGTGGAAACAGTGCCTGTCCCACAACAGGGGCTTCCCAACCTGTAGATCATAACACCCTGGTGGGTGGTGATATCAATTAGCAGGTCAAGATGGTCATTTACAAAAAAACCCAAAAAACTGCCCAAGAATGAGAAAACAAAACAAACCCAGAGCCAGAATGCAGCCTACAGGGGGACAGTGTGTTCTTGGGGTTGCAATGTGACATGTATTTCTTATCCATGAGCTACGAAAAGAGTGTTGGGGTAGCCGTCTAGCTTTTCCAGGAAGGGGTCTGTCCAAGGGCATAAGAAATCTTGGCAGTGACTCAAGCCTGTGATCGCAGCACTTTGGGAGGCCGAGGCAGGAGCAGTACTTGAGGCCAGGAGTTTGAGACTAGCCTCAGCAACAAAGTAAGACCTCATCTCTACAAAAAAGTTTTAAAATTTAGCCAGGCAAGGTGGTGTGCGCCTGTAGTCCCAACTACTTGGGAGGCGAGGTGAGAGGATTGCTTAAGCCCAGGAGTTGGAGGCTGTGGTGAGCTAAGATTGAGCCACTGTACTTCCAGCCTGGGTGACAGAGAAAGAGCCTGTCTGAAAAAAAAAAAAAATCTGGGTGGGTGGGCTGGGGCCAGGGAGAGAACAGGGTCGGAGGCAGTCTGGGGGCACTCACCCTCACAGCGGCGCTTGTCTGGGGCCAGCTCGTACCCGGGGTCACAGCTGCACTTGTAGCTACCCAGGGTGTTGAGGCACCGCTGCTCACAGCCCCCGCGGTTGGGCCGAGAGCACTCGTCCACCTCTGTGGTGGGAAGGAAAGGGTGTCACAGACCCCAGGCAGGGGCCTGGTCACTCTTCCCACCTCTGCTTGGGAGTCAAGTCCAGGGTCCCTCATGATTCTTATGACCACCCCTCACCCCCATTCAAGGGAAGAAGTTGGCTGTGACCCTCACTTGTCCAGTCAGCCCCAAGACCCACCCAGCTCCCCGATGGCTGGAACCCCACAGAGGGACCCCACAGAGCCTTCCTTCTGAGCACACGGACTGGGCTAGTGTCTCTCATGTGCCGTTCCTTGACTAAGGACCCCTCTTTCATTTCTCCATCAATCCTTATGTGAAGCCTGTGGCGGATGGACTGTTACTGTGCCCATTTTACAGATGAGAAACTGAGGTTCAGGGAGAATATCCTGCCCAAGGTCACACAGGTAAAAAAATCCTCCAACTGCCTTTTTTCCTCCCTGAGTCCTACAGCAGGTCCTGCCTCTAATCCACATTGGGGGATCTCTTCTCCCCAGCTAGCCCCAAGCTTCTTAAGGGCACGTCCCTGGGGTCTCACTGGCATCCATAGGCCTGCTAGAGTCTCCGTGTTGAATGAGTGAATGAAGAAGGAATGAAGGTCATGGAGCACCTTGGGGCAGGGGAGAGTAGGACAGGAGGCACCTTTGAAAAAGTTGACGGCAAAGCCCGCTTTGTTAATGGACCCGTCAGAGACGAACTTGAGCCAGAGGCGGCTGGATGTGCTCTTGATGTCATCGGGCTTCTCGTAGCCACAGTAGCGCCCGATGAGGGTGCTGCTCTCACTGTGCCCGTCACGCACCTCCAGATAGTCGTAGGCACAGCTGTCGTGGCGCTCAATCTAGGCGTCGAGGCTTCATCAGTGGAAGGGGCTCTGGCTGCCAGAGACCCACCCCCGGGAGCCCAAAGAGAGGCAGCTGTCCCAGGGAGCGAGTGCAGGATTCAAATGTCAGATCATAGGGCTGATGACCTACCTCAAAGGACTGGAATGTGAGGCCCACGTGGAAGCCCTCAGACACCTGGATCCGCCAGATGCAGACTTTGCTGGGCCGGTAATCATCTGGGTAGTTGGGTGATTGAATGTGGCCATAGTCCTTTTTCACATCACCCCCGCAGATGGCTATGGGGACACCCAGGATAGGGTGGGAAGGAGTGGTGAGTCGGCATGCTCTGCCCTGCTGGGGAGCTCTTTTCCCCACTCCTCCAGTCCCTCCCATGTCCCCCAGCTTTTCAGTTCCCCACCAACCCCCCAGTCCCAGGCAATCCCATCATTCTCTCTGCTTCTTCCCTTGCGGACCCATGGTCTTGCCCCTCAGGTGCCAGGAGGGATGTTCTAGGATGCCCAGAGACCTCCTATCTGACCCCTCCCGCCCACCGCCTTCCTCAATACCTTCGTAGACTGCAAAGAAGCCCTTTCCGACCCAATTGCTGCTGCTGCGGAATTCAACCCAGAGGCGGCTGTCAGTGGAGACGATGGGCTCAGGGAGTTTGGACCCGCAGAAGCGGCCTGCACAGACAGTGTGGATGAAAGACTGGTGAACCCTGAGGACACCCCCTATAGAGGCCCCACCTCTCCAGGAGGCGTGGGTGCTTGGGCCCTGATCTGTGGCCACTCTACTTCATACATTCTCAAGACTGTACACCCTCCGGTTGGCTTCTGTCTGGTCCAAGGTCCAGCTTGGCTTTGGAGAGCCAGAGACCACTTGAGGGATAGGATATGAGTCTATTTCTAAGAGGAAAGGTAGATCTTTATTTTTCATTTTATCTTATTTTATTTTTTTGAGATGGAGTCTCGCTCTGTCACCTAGGCTGGAGTGCAGTGGCGTGATCTTGGCTCACTATAACCTTTGCCTCCTGGATTCAAGAAATTCTCCTGCCTCAGCCTCCCAAGTAGCTGGGACTACAGGCATCTGCCACCATGCCCAGCTAATTTTCATATTTTTAGTAGCGATGAGGTTTTGCCATGTTGGCCAGGCTGGTCTCGAACTCCTGACCTCAGGTGATCCACCTACCTTGGCTTCCCAGAGTGCTGGGATTTCAGGTGTGAGCCACCATGCCTGGCCAAGGTAGATCTTTATAATGTTCAACTATATATGTGTTCTATTTACCTTTCTAAAGAGCATATTACCATCATATTTACCTTTTCTTATTTGGTCTCTATGCAAAGAAGAGACTAAATCAGAAATATAATCAGAAATAAACATGACCTTCTTTACACATTACAAACTGCCCTCACAGACATGCTTTTATTTGTTCAAATGCAAGGGATGCCCCAGGACCCTAAATAAATCCCAGAATCTGGGGACTAGGTCAGAAAATGTCCACTTTGAAATAAAAATGAGTAAGAATCAACATAAGTGGATGAGGTCGGCCATCTGTGGAATTCTTTGTAGTCAAGAATCAACTAGGAATGAGTTGTGTGTTCCTAATAAGGCCGGTGTTTCCCAACATTCAGCAAGGGACGGAGGGTGCTGGCCCAGGAATGTAAGTTATGAAAAAGAAACTCCCATCTTGGAAAAACACTAACACGTCTGCGAGAGGAAGTGTTGTAAGGCCAGCTGCTTTGAGTGACCAAAAAGAAATATTTAAATATCGGAAACTGGGGCGAAAATAGAGGTTGGCAAGATCTGTCTGGCTGTTTTAGGCACAGGCTAAGAAGAAGAGGTTCTGTTGCCCACAGAGTGGTCCTGAGCTTCTTATGATCATGTCCAGCTAGGAGGAGATTCATACAGCTCCTCGGGCTTGCTGCAAATACCCTCTAGGATCACCTGCCTCCCTTTGCCCTAATTCTAGGTTCATTAAAGCACCTTCTGTTCTGTGCTTCTGACCCACTTATTCCCACTGACTCACCTCCTGCCCCCTACCCTCCTCGGGACAAAGTATCCTATGCAAACAAGGTCGGGCCACGGCGCCCACTGTGCAGCCCTCGGCAGTGAGTGAGTTAGGAGATGGGCTGGCGGGTTATGATGACTCTCTTTTGAGCCAGGCTGCACTGTGGGCACTCAAAAACCAGAAGGGCAGACAGAAAAAAAATAGTGGAGCCTCTGAAAGTGCCCAGATGAGGAAGAGAGCCTGGGGCCATGGGGATGCACAGAACTGTCTCTCTCAGTCAATTCTGATGACTCCTTGCACCCACTGGGTGACAGCCGACTTCACAGGGAGGCCCAGAAGCCTGCACTGGGGACTCCGAAGTCCAGATCAAGGACAGCACTTGCCTAAAGTCACACAGCAAGTGAGCAACGCAGCTAGCTGGGACTAATGATGCCAGGACTCCTGGCTCCCACACCGGGATGTCATCCCTGGCCAGTGTTGGGCCCTGGAGGGAGATGAAGAGTGTGATGAGGGTGGTTCAGAGAGGGAATCAGCATGGAGGGGGCAGGGGGTGGCTGGTGCTGTTACCTCGGAGGGGTGCCTTCCTCCAAAAGCCATCTCGGACCTCCACGTAGTCGTACCAGCACAGGCGGCTGCGGTACAGGTCCAGGGATGTGAAGTTCAGGATGATCTAGGGCAACAGGGGAGGAAGAGGGTTAGGCTGTCCTGAACATTGCACCAGCCCTCTGCCAGCCCCATGATGACCACCGCCTGCCTTACTGGAGGCAGGTCACCCTGGGTGAGAGCTAACGGGCTCCCGAAAGGAGCTGCTGGCACAGAACCGCCACTCCTCCACAGTGGTCTGCGTATGGTCAGCTTTCTTCCCAGAAGGTCCAGGAGGAGGAGCAGACATCACTTTGGGTAGAACCCCTGGCTCCAGCTCTCTTCATAGTCAATTAGATAACACAACCCACAACACCTTCAAGAGGAACTGGTCTCCACAGCGGTAGGAAGGGCCAAGGGCTGCATGAGGATACTGAGGGGTCTGAAGTAGGGACGAAGGGTCCCAAGAGGAGAGGCAGGGGGAAAGAAGGGCTGAGTCACTAATCATCACTTTTTATTTTCTTTTATTTTTTTGAGTCAGGGTCTTGCTTTGTCACCCAGGCTGGAGTGCAATGGTACAATCACAGCTCACTGCAGCCTCCACCTCCCAGGCTCAAGCTATCCTCCCACCTGAGCCTCCCAAAGTGCTGGGATTACAGGAGTGTGTCACTGCGCCTGGCCCCATCATTTATTGAGGGCTAATTCTGGGCAGGGGGATACACTAACTGCTGAGAGGACACCAGATCTGAATCTGTCCCTGTCCTCAAGGAGCTCTGGGCTTAGGGAGGGATGAGACATACGCATGAGAAAGCTCAGACCCCAGTCACAACAGCCTGGGCGTGAATCTCCACTCTGCATTTTCTGCTGTGAGTTATCAAGCAAACCACGTAACCTCTGAGCCTCTGCTATGCGTGCAATGGGGAGAACAGTCCCTACCCTGACATCACACTTCCAAGGCACAGGCACTGTCTGTCCTGAGCACCTCATTTCAGCCTCCGAGTTCAGGAAACGCTCGCTCGCTACTGGAGGAATGTTACACCTTGGTGAGTACCAATTCTCTTTAGCAGATGGGCATTTTAACAGGTAGAGAGTTTAATGGTTTCCCTCCATTTCCAGGGGGAAACCACTTCCTCGGTAGGTTCCAGAGTGGGCCCAAAGCCTGTCGGGTATTCAGAGTTCCAACAAGTAGGGATTCCAGGGATGTGTTCGCCGTGACCTGCGAGGCCAGTGCAGTGAACACTCGATGGTCTCAGGGCTATCCCGCTCTGGGAGAGCTGGGTTCTCCACTAGAGAAGGGGACAGTCTGCCTCCCTTGTACCTTCTTGGAGAGTTAGAGGCAGAGTGGAGGCCAGGATGAGAAAGATTCCAAGGTGGGCACTGACAATTGCTGTCTGTAGCCAGGGTCAACTGGCTAGTTGGGGAGGAGCTCCTGGCTCCCGGTCACTCTGACATGGGCCCTATCAGAATACCTGGTGATTCCAATATCCGCCTAGAGGACCCTTCCCATTTCTTGGCCGCTCAGTTCCCTGACCTCCTCTCTCCACCTCTCTACACCTTCCCGACCACACACCAACACGTCACGCCGTGCAGGCCGGCTTCATCAAGAATTGTCTGCCCCTCTACAATCTCAGTTTCTAGGGCTTCACTCTCCATTCAGTTCCCAGTCTTTCCCTCAGTTCTCATCACTGCGACCTTCAAGCCACTGCACCCAGGGCAATGCCACTGCCGGTCACCCCCATCTATTCTCTCTCCTTACCCAGCTTAGCTCCACAGCCCATCCTTTTTCTTCTATTCTTTTTAAAAAATTCTTACATGAAGGCTGGACGCGGTGGCTCACGCCTGTAATCCCAGCACTTTGGGAGGCTGAGGCAGGCAGACCACGAGGTCAAGAGATCGAGACCATCCTGACTAACATGGTGAAACCCCGTCTCTACTAAAAATACAAAAAAATTAGCCGGGCGTGGCAGCGGGTGCCTGTAGTCCCAGCTACTCGGGAGGCTGAGGCAGGAGAATGGCGTGAACCCGGGAGGTGGAGCTTGCAGTGAGCTGAGATCGCGCCACTGTACTCCAGCCTGGGTGACAGAGCGAGACTCCGTCTCAAAAAAAAAAAAAAAAAAAAAAAAAACCTTACATGAGTTTAACTATATTTATTTGGGGGGTCTCTTATTAATTATGGTATTCTGTGATATAATTGAGTAAGATCATGTTTTTGAAAAGTACACTATAGGCCGAGCGTGGTGGCTCACTCCTATAATCCCAGCACATTGGGAGGCCAAGGCAGATGAATCACTTGAAGTCAGGAGTTTAAGACCAGCCTGGCCAAATTGGTGAAACCCCATCTCTACTAAAAATACAAAAAAATTAGCCAGGTGTGGTGGCATGCACCTGTAATCTTAGCTACTTGGGAGGCTGAGGCAGGAGAATCGCTTGAACCCAGGAGGCAGAGGTTGAAGTGAGCCTAGATCGTGCCATTGCACTCCAGCCTGGGTGACAGAGCGAGACTCTGTCTCGAAAAAAATACAAAATAAAATAAAGCACACTATATATTACTCTTGGTTATTATTATCATCATCAAACGTTATTGTTACTATTATAAGTCCTGGCATTTTGAAACTCTGAAGATGCAAGTCTGTTCTAGCTCCTGCGAGGGAGTGGATGGCGTCTCATTACCTAATCTTTTAACTTTTTAGAAAATGATCAAATGTGGACAAGACATGGTAGCTCACACCTGTAACCGAGCACTTTGGGAGGCTGAGGCAAGCACTTTGGGAAGCGATCACTTTGATCGCTTGAGTCCAGGAGTTTGAGACCAGCCTGGGCAACATAGTGAGACCCCATCTCTACAAAAATTAAAAAATTAACCAGCTATGGTGGCATGTGTCTGTAGTTCCAGCTACTACGAAGGCTGAAGTGGGAGGATCACCTGAGCCTAGGAGGCTGAGCCTCCAGTGAGCCAAGATTGTGCTGGCTCACTGAATGGAAATTTGGTTTTATTTTATATATATATAAAAAATGTGTATTATATAATATATAAGATGCATATTATATATGTATGTGTGTGTATGTGCGTATATATATCTATATATATCCATCAATAGAGATCTGCAGGGGGCAACTGAATAATTAAATTGAGATAAATCAAGACAATGGCAATCTAAGCAGCCATAAAAATGGCTGAGTGCTGGCACGGAACGGCGGGCACAATTCATTGCTGAGTGCAAGGTATATTGCAAAAGACCATATACGTGTGCATACAATTCCTTTTTGTCTTGTATATATATACATACATATATACACATCCATGCTTACGTGCATGTGTATACCTAGAAGGGTCTAGAAGGAGACACCAGAAAGTGTTCCCAGTGCTTAGTCACCTCTGAGGAGTGGGATCTAGAGGAGGGTCTAAAGGAGAAAATTCACTTGTTATTTTACGCATTTCTAGATTGTTCAAAAAGTTTGTTTACTGTGTGCATGTTATTTGTATATCTAACAAACAACAAAAACAAAGGAGTTGCTGGGTGGAAGAAGGGATGCAGAGGGCCGAGTGAGGGCGCTCTGGCTCCTGACTCACACCCTCCACCACTCCTCCACGTGGCCTCCCGGGGCCTGCCAAGCAGTTCTGCTCAGCAGCTGTGCTGAGGACAAGCACCGCTTTCCTTCATCCTTAGAAGCAGCCTTGGCTGTGTCTGGAGAGGATGATGTCAAAGCTGCTGAGGAAGAAACCACGCCCAGCCGGCAGAACCCCAGAGGGCCCACCCGAGACCTCCAAAGAAGCAGGAGGAACCAGAGGTCACATCACTCAGGAGGAAGAAACCTGCACTGGCTGAGAGAGGCATGCTACAGAGAGGCCCAGTGATGGCTATATTGAGACTGGATGTGTCAAATTAAGAGTTGTATTGGCTTCTGTCGTGTGGAAACAGCTGTGCTGTGGTGGCAGGGGCAATGCCCTTTGCCAGAGAAAACCTGGCCAGCCCCACCACTTCCGGGCTGGTGACTTGGGCCTGTGGCTCGGCTTCCTTAAGCCTCAGTGTTTTTGTCTGAAATTGAGATGGGGCCGGGTGCGGTGGCTCATGCCTGTAATCCCAGCACTTTGGGTGGCTGAGGTGGAAGGATTGCTTGAGCCTGGGAGTTTGAGACCAGCCTGAGCAATATAGTGAGACCTCATCTCTACAAAAAAATTTTAAAACTTGCTGGGCATGATGGCACATGCCAGTGGTCCCAGCTACTCGGGAGGTGGAGGTGGGAGGATCACTTGAGTCGGGGAGGTCCAGGCTGGAATGAGCCATGATCACATGAGCCATGAACAGAGCAACTCTGTCTCAGAAAAAAACAAAACAAAACAAAAAAACCCCCAAAACTGGAAATGATCATAATGGCTTCACTGGGGAGTTGGGAGGATTCAATATGGGGTGCAGAGTCTCCTGAATATAGGAAATACTCCTCAAGCTTGCTGCATGCTGGCAGGAGAGAAGTAATAGGACACCTCACTTCTGGCCACAGCGTGCCAGTTAAGCATCTTGCCCCTTGGTGACTCATTGTCCGGCTTCAATCTGACCTAGCTGCATGATCTTTAGGCCCATCAACCAGTTCCTCTGTGCCTCCATGTCCTTATTTATAAGAGGGTAATGACGATATGATCTGCCTCCCAGGACTTAGGGGAGTTCAATTCGTATATGTGTAAAATTTACAAGTGCCCAACTCAGAGTAAGCACTCAATAAACGTTAACTTTGCTGGTAGAATGAAGTTTGCTTAAGATTTTTTGGTATTTGGAATGGTTAAGACAAGAATCCTGGAATTAGAGAGAAATAGGGTTCCTGGGGAAGTGGACCAGGATTTCTTCATTTAAAAAGATTACGGGGCCGGGCGCGGTGGCTCAAGCCTGTAATCCCAGCACTTTGGGAGGCCAAGACGGGTGGATCACGAGGTCAGGAGATGGAGACCATCCTGGCTAACACGGTGAAACCCCATCTCTACTAAAAAATACAAAAAACTAGCCAGGTAAGGTGGTGGGCGCCTGTAGTCCCAGCTACTCGGGAGGCTGAGGCAGGAGAATGGCGTAAACCCGGCAGGCGGAGCTTGCAGTGAGC